ATGTTAGATTAAAATGCAATAAAAAATTAAAATTTTAATAAAAAATGCTCAGAGCCCCATTTTCCTAGCAAACCTCCCATATGATACAAATATCTGACTTAAAAAATTAAACCAATAATAATGATAGATAAGTATTAGAGCTTTTGGAATTATTTATTATTTTTTTATATTATGCAATATTGATCAAGTTATACTAAGTTAAAGTAGTGGCCAAATTTATTATGAAATTAAAAAATTAAGAATATGATAATTTTGTGTAATAGGTATATTATTTAAAATTTTTTGTTCTAATTATAAAAAATCATAATTTTTGTGTAATATTGTATCTTTTATAAATTGATAATTGACCTGAATTAAATTAGTTTAGTTTCTATTTTTCTTAAATATATGATTGAGAAAGCATCAAATTTTTGTACGAAAAAATTTTAAAAAACAAAAAAAAAGCAAAAAAAATGTAAAATTATTAAATTTAGACTTTATTTTATCTGAAAGTTCTTCCGATTTTAGTGATGAAAATTATTCATCTGATTTTAGCAATGACTTTGAAAAATTTTATGAACAAAGATTAAATGAATTTGAAAAATTAGAATTAATAAAAAAAGAAAAAAAAAAACTTGAATTATCACAAGCTACTAAATATAGAAAATATGGTCTATCTGATAAATTTACATTAGTAGCAGTCGAAACTAAAACTCTTGATCATTTTTTTACATATAAGAAACAAAAATTTGGTTTAGATAACAATGAAAACGAATACTTAATTAGTAGAAGTAATACATTAGATAGTGGTGTATCTGGTAGTGATACATTTGATAATAATATATCTGGAGATGATATATAAGACAATAATAATTCATTAGATAATAATACATCTGATGGTGGTGTTTATGATTTTTTCGATGATAATAATGGTGATAGGGATAATGAGTTTAGTTCTGGTGATGATGATGATGGTGGTGGTTATATATTTGATTCTTTTGACAATGGTATTTCTGATCAAAAAAATATAATTAGTTTAGAAAAGCTTGAAAAACTCAAAAATATTTTGAAAAATAATAGAAAAAGCTTATCTTTATCAGAATAACTTTGTTACTGAACAATATATAAATATTTTTACATATAAATAGTAATGTTAATAAAGTAGAAGCAAGTATTAATATAACAGATAAACTTTATTAAAAAGGTTTTTATCAAGCAAAAATTATTCACAAATGGGTAAAATATTGGATTGAAAATGAAGTATTACCAATAAGTAAATAAGGGTATCATAAAAAAACAAAATCACTTATTAATGAAGAAGATTTAATTGATAATCATCTTAGATTTATTCGTCAAAATAATGGTAAAACAACACCAAAAGATTATCAACAATTTATTCAATCAGTACTTTTTAAAACAACAAATAAAAAAAAACTATTTCATTAAAAACTTCATGAATCTGGCTAAAAAACTTGGTTTAGTTTCACAATCCTAAAAAAAAGCATTTATTTCAATGGTCATGAAAGAAATGATGTATTGGCATATTATAAAACCTTTTTAAAACAAATGGAAAAATATAAACAATTTATGCCAACATTTATTGGAGGTGAAATAACACAAATTAATCCAGAAATTTCTAATAATCAAAAAATGCATAAATTTATAACATATGATGAATCATTATTTTATGCAAATAATGATCATCTAATTATTTGAGCATCACTTAAAGAGCAACTACTTCATAAGAAAGGTCAAGGTAGATCAATCATAGTTAGTGAATTTATGCTTGAAACAATTAGATGATTAAAATTAACTTTAGAACAAACACATTTAAATCCAAATATTCCAGTTGAAGCACAGAAATTTTTAAAATCTGAAAAAAATGCAGAAGGTTGGTGGACTGCTGATCATTTAATTGATCAAGTTAACAATTTTGCTATTTCTATTTTTGAAACAATTTATCCTAATGCAGTTGCTGTTATGGCATTTGATAACAGTACAAATCATAGATTAATTCCAACTGATGGTTTAAATGTTACATTAATGAATGTTAATCCTAGAGTAAACAACCACACATGCGTTCAACTTATTTTAGACCAAATAATACTTATCAATCAATGATTTTTCCTGCTAATCACCCTATATATCCTAATCAACAAAAAGGAATGTATGAAATATTAAAAGAACGAAATTTATAGAGGAATGGATTAATTGAAGATTGTCAATTATGTAAAGGTAAAAATAAAATTATAGATAATCAAAGAATAATTGTTGCATGAAAAGAATTTTATTATTACAGCCTAATTTTTATTGCTCAAAAATCTCGTCTTCAAGAAGAAATTAAAAAAGAGAACACAAATGTATATTTTTTCCAAAATATTATTGTGAACTCAATTTTATTGAAATGTATTGGGAAGCTGCTAAAAAATATATTAAAGAATATTGTAATTATTCTTGGATAGGTTTACAAAATATTGTACTTAAAGCTTTAGACTCTATACCATTAACAACCATTCATCGATATACTCAAAAATTATGGAGATATATGAATGTATACAGAAAAGGAATTACTGGCAAACTGGCAGAATTTGCAGTTAAAAAATATAAGTCTCATAGAAGAGTACCTGATAATATATATGATGAGCTTTGATATAGTAAAATAAATAAAAATATATAAAAATCATGTGACTTATATGATTACATGATCTTAAATAATATAATTGAAATTGAGAATTTTTTTTTTTAATAAATTAATTCCTTTTTATAAATAGAGTATAAATTTTTAATTATATTAAAATCAAATAATAGAATAAAAATTAATTTAAAATTTTTTAATTTTTGATTATAGAGATTTTGTATTATAGGTCATAATATATATATATTATGATCTAGTTACATTAAGTTATTACCTTAGATTATTACCTAGTTGTTAACATATTATAGACGTATTTGTTTTTTCATTCATCTGCAAGCTTTTGGTGACTTATTTTGTGATTATTTTTTCTACTTACTTATTTTTTTATTTGCTAAAATGCTTTTACTTCCTTTCTTTTTTGTTTTTATCTTCTAGTTGACTACCAACTTGCTTGTTTTTCTTTTCCATTTCTTTTACTTTTTTGCTATACAAATATTTTTGATATGCTATTTGGCTTTTATTTCTTGCTACGAATATTTGTTGGTTATTTATTGTTTACGGATTTAGTTCAGCTCTGAGGTTTATTTATGCTATGTAATTTTTTGTATTATGCTCCTTTTCTCTCATTGAGTGTTTCTAATGCTAGGTGATTAATTGTTGATCTTGGTTTGATTACGCTATGAGCTTTCTTCTTCTGAAAGTGTGATCAGGAACAGATGTGAAATATTGGGAATTATATTTATTTACAAACATTTTTACCTTTTTTTACCTTTTTATATATTTGTGAACTCTTTTTTATATATATATATATATATATATTTATAAACAATTTTTCTTTTTTCTTTCTTTTTTATATATATTTATTTATAAACAATTTTTCTTTTTTTTTCTTTTTATATATTTGCGATTAATTTTGTTTTTTTTATATATATATATTTGCAATTAATTTTTTTCTTTTTTATATATATATTTGTGATCTTTTTTTCTTTTTTTTATTTTTTATTTTTTTATTATTTAATATATACAGTGAACTTTTAATATAACGAATTCTAGAATCTGAATATCAACTTCATTATAAGCTTATAACGAATTTTTTAAAGAATTTAATTGATTAATTCACTATAGTAAGATAATTTTAATATATTTTGATTTAAATTCATTATATCAAGGGTTCGCTATATCAAAATTTGACTGTATTGCAAATATTTAATTATTTTTTATTTTTATATTGCGAACAATAAATTTAATTACTAATAAAAATAATTTCTGATAAAATAAAATTTTTATTAATTTTAAGTATAAAGTGGTTTGTCTTAAAACATATTAATATATTAATATATTAATATGTTTTAGGACAAACCACTTGCACTAGATTAATATGTCCTATGACGTTGTAATCTATTAATTAATATGTCCTAGGACATTATAATCTATTAATTAATATGTCTTAAAGATGAGGCGTGCTTTCCCTATCTGTGACTTATTGGTCAGTAAATATGAATGATATATATGTCTATTTGGTTGCCTTTTAAAATACTTGAAGTGGTAAAAAAAGAGGTGACAGGTGACGCAGTATATTTGTGATTAAATATTGTCAGCTTTATGGTATAACTTTAGCCGATTTTTTGAGCATGTGTTTTGAGGATCCAATTTGGTGTCATGATAGTATTATGATAGCGTACTGGTAGTATCATGGAACTCTTCTGGAACTGTCATGGAACTGGCATAAAACTGTTGAAAAACAGGTAAGGAACTGACTGAATGCCTGAGAGGTTCTATTTATTCGCCAGTTTTAGTCCACTTATATACCAGCTTGAATGCTGAGTTATTATACCCAAAGTTTCAGCCAAAATTATAGAATAGCGTTGGCCGACATTAAGTGAATAAATCTTACATAAAGACTATATCGTAGCCGAACAGATACCTAGAAAAATGAAGCCTTCTTCTATTTTTAGGTACATGATTTAAGAGTTCAAAGTCAGTACTATGGCTGGCCTATTTGATTGCTAATAAGTGCTCTATTTTGCAACTAACTATTGCCTATTTGTTGCCAGTATATATATCCCAATTTTGCATCTGAGGTTAGAGATGCATTATGTATTATCATAGCTGACCCATTTATATCATACCCGAGTACATATCTAGAAAGATGAAGGCTTCTCCCAATATTTTATATAATGATTACGGAGAAGCCTTCACCGAAAAAATAAATGCGCCAATGAAAGTATCCATACCTGAGAACATACATGTATTAGGGTAGTCTTCTTCCAATTTTATATAATATAATTCTGAAGAAGACTACCTTAAGTATCACCTATTAAGAATATGATTATTTATGGTTTTTTTACTAATCTGCTATACATCTTTTTTACATCCATCGAAAAAATGCGTCAGATATATTTGAGAAATATTTGAGTGATATTTAGGGTTTGGGTTAGTGGATTAGTTGATTAGAGAATTGGAGATGCAAACTTTATATCTCTTTTTAGTATACCTCTATATTACGTGAAGGCTATACCATACCGAGTACATACCTAAAAAGTGTAATCTTCTTCCAATTCTTTATATAAAATTTCTGAAGAAGACTACATTTTGATGTAATAATTCATTTGATCTTCTTTCGTGTTTTACTATCTAAGTTTGCTATTGCTTCTTTTTTCAATGAATAAAAAAAATAATTAAACATTTCTGATTTATATAAAGTTATATAAATTCTTTCAAACTGACAACATGTATACCTCAACTATTTTCAACCAAACTGATCACACTAGATCTGGCCCAACGTTCGCCTACTATGATGGCATTAAGTCTTTAGTTGGTAGCCTATCACGTAATAATATTGTGGCAGAATTTTATAATGGGATGACCACTATACTTCAACAAAGCCTATCTGGCAAGCAACTCATACATTTCATGCCTACTGAAGTTAGTGATGATACTAAATATATAAAAGGTGTCTCCTCCTATATTTTGCGTATTACTGGTACTTTAATTAATGAACAAAAAGCAGTCGTAAATATTACAGGCATTAAACCTTTCTTTGATGTCGTAGTACCTGAAGAGATGTCATTATCTATGTTTAAGACTAAATTAGTGAAAATATTATCTAATATCCTCGAATATATATCAAAATTCGGGATTGAGTATATTAGCGCTTTTTCACTTCGAGGATATCATACAGAAAAGAAACCATATATCCGTATTAGTACTTGAAACTATTTTGATCGGTATAATGCATTAAAAGCAGTCCACGCTGTTAGTATGCATACAGCTTCAGATGATTTAAATTGCCAGTATTATTCTCATAAAGTAGCTTGTGAAAAAATATTACCTTTTTCAAGTTGGGAAACGTTAAGTAATTATTTCCACGAATATATTCAAGGGGTACTTATCTCTTCCAAGTTTCTGTAGATAATTACAATCCAACAAGTGAGGATAATTATAATAATTCATTATTATCCTCGTTCCTTTCACGAGATCTAACTCTCGTTCTTACATGGGATATCGAAACATATAGCTTATGAAAAACAGGTGATATACCTAATGCAAAATATGAAGAAAATATTGTGTTCATGATTTGTATGACAGTTCATTGGAAAGACAATCCTAAACTGTTAAAGCAAATCTGTCTTATTAACGTTGAAACTGTATCAGACCTACAGTTGATTACGATTATATGCAGATCTCAAGTTAATTTATTAAAAGCATTCGCCTTATGTTGAAAACTTTTAGTCCCAGATATACATATAGGCTTTAATGATTCTCAATATGATTGGCGATTTATTGTGGAGAAAGCTAATAAGTTGGGAGTTCTTGAATGGATGTTTAATCATAT